CCTCCACCCCATCATTCTCTCCCGGGCTGCCTGCCGAGCGGCTGCGTGCGCCGGCTCCAGCGGCGAGTGGTACTCGTGGGCATCGCCCTCCCTGTATCCACCCGGCAGAGGTGCATGCTGCAACCCCGAGAGAGCTCCGACAAAAACGAGCCGCTGCCCAGGCCCCAGGCTGTGCCGGACCCCCTCACGGGTGGCGGATGGCGACAACGGAATGGCAGTGAGAGGTGTGACCGCACCGACGACCTTCTCACCTGGGGCAGAGATTTGAGAGGCAGCAGAAAGGTGATGGAAGGAGCATCGGGGAGTCCGACAAAGAGACAGACTGGTGGAACCATGCTCTGCCCTCCCTGAGAGAGCAACAGCCACTAGGGAAAAAACAAGCCCTAATCCTCCACCACTCTCTCTTGGTTGCTCTCACACCTTCCTCCCGTTTCTTTGCCAAAGGACCACCTTTATATGATCACAGCCTGGTGTGGGTTGGAAGGGACCTTAAAGCTCCAACCTCCTGCCATGGGCAGGGACACCTTCCACTAGAGCAGGTCGCTCCAAGCCCCTTCCAACCTGATGTTCATCAAACTCTTCTTCCTTCTCTGTTCACTGACTTTGCTATCTGCCTCACTGTTTCACACACATACTCCTTGAATGTCAGCAGTATTCTAAAATCCTAACAGAATCTGCTACATTTTTAGATGACCTCATAAAAACAACTTCAAAACTTGAGATACCCAACCCACACAACAGATAACCCATTTGATAAGTGAGGCATTACAGAGCAAAGGTTGCAGCTTGTCCACAGCAAATGTTTTTTTCCAAGAGACTACACAAAAGACACAACAAAAACACGGTTTGTACTGTTCACTCCTTATTTCTCCCTGAGGCTATCTGCTAGCCTGAAATGTACCACTAGCTTTCCTCACCAAACAGTGCAGTACATGGAAAGATACAGCACTGAGGACACAGTCCATACTACACAGACTTCTAGGTTTTTACCTCATCCTAACTTTAATTTGCTCCTGTAGTCTGACTCTTCCTGAGCAGCTGGACTGCATTACAACTGTGGCTGCATTAGCAAGAAAACACGAAGCAGTAGAGGGCAAAGAGTTGGTGCTGAAACCTTAATGTCCACTCTACGTGCATTTTGCAGTCTACCTGACAGTAGCTCTTGGTTGGTTCAATGAACAGATAATCCATCAACATGCTGCTGTACCACAGCTTCTGGTCTAATTTCATCCGAAAGGAATTCAGTTTGTGCACTCCAGGACTGCTACACATTGTAAATGAAAGCAGGTGAGTAGGGACAACTGAAAAATTGATTTCCAAGTTAACTTCTAATCCAAACTAAAATACTGACGTAGATACATCATGACTGTGCTCCTGGAATGCATCTTTTGGTTTAGATTCATCAAAAAGGAATTCAGTTTGCATGCTCCAGGAGTCTCTTCTTCAAAAGCAAACTCTTGAACCTAAAATGCTATTACAGACACCCCCGTTGCAATCAAGGCAGAGAGGAGCTCTGTTCTTTGCTTCACCCTATGCTTTCTTACAGAGCTCTACATGGTTAGTTTACTTCTTTGTGGGCATTTGTGCTTCAGAATGGTAAGGTTATGGGGATAGTGTCATTTACTACAGCCCAGTTCAATACACTGAAGAGACATAAACCACTCCTTTACTACCTTGCATGGGCTATCTACATTTAGATAAGAGTGTCTAAGGAAGAGACACGTGCAAAGCCTCTGTCAGCCCTTCCTGCAAATATGTAAAACTGGCTCATATAGCCAGGGGCAAAAGCACTTTCACCCTGCCTTTGCCAAGCACTGATGACTGCAGTTACCACAGATACTGTTTGAGGAAAGCTGAAACATAACCCTAAGCTGGGGCTTTCTTTGTAATGGCAATTGGCCATATTTGTTTTTAAAAAACCCAACACAGTAATAGTGTAGTTACAATATTATTTCTTACTGACGGAAGGTATCCTCACAAATGGATTATGCTGTCTCTGTATCACAAATGGAGGCATTTCTGAGCTGTCACTCAAAGATAGTGTAAAGCAAAAATACCAGCCCAACTTTTCCAACAGAAAGCTCAGACTCAGCTGAAAAAGAACACAACATGTGGCTGTGCCAGCCTCTGTGTGCAAAAGGATTCTATATGCCAGGATTCCTTCTTTCAGATATTTTCCCTGAAGTTAGATGGATCTTTTCTCTTTTCATAAATACTTTTCTTAAACTCAGGTGATCATTTGTTGCTAGATTACACAACATCACGTTTCTAACAAAACATCTTTATGCTCTTGGATCAGAAAGTAAAAGAAATCTAAATAAAGAGTTAGCTGTTTAACAACTGTGCATTTTTTCTCTAATTAAATTGTTCATAAACATTTAAAATATATACCCTTACATAACAGGGAATGGTAATTCAGACAAAGTTAGGGGAGTCCACAGGAAGTGTTTTAAGAGAATTAGTTTGTTGGCCATGACTAGAGTAAAAATTCAATATATTTTGCCATGCATATGAGAGAGTTCTTTCTTTCTTACACCAAAAAGAAAGGACAATTTCTGCCAATTAGACACCAGAAGAATATATAGAAGCTAAATGAAAACAGCATCACATGAAACTGTTTAAGTAATAGTTCATTAAGTGTGGCTGTGGTTGCGACAAGCACAAACACACTCGTTCCCCAAGACAGGTACCGCTGGAGAAACTGAGGTTAAAAACAATCTGACCTCCACTGGAATTCCAGTATTGACACTCTGAGACTGGAGCTGTCGTGAGAAGAAACAAGTACAAAACCACACACCTGTGGTTGCTCCCTGTCTTGCTAAAGAAACCTCCTCTAGAAAGGGAAGATACAAACTACCTAAAACTTTCCAAGGCAAAAAATAAAACTGAAAAGTAACAAATTTTTTGAAGTGAGGATGGAGATAGTGATTGCAGTAGCTGGATTATCCCGCATAAAGCTGGAACTTCTTATTTATAAACTGTCCCAGACACATTTCCTTTAACTTCCACTAAAGATTTTTTAAAACCAAAGAATGAAAGACATGCTGGCTAATCAATACAGAACAGTTTTTCAGCAGGTATGATATGCTAGCAAAGAAAGTGATAGGAAAGGGTCATCTGCACTCTGAAAAACAGTCCTTTCTGCTCATTAATGCTTGAAAACTAATGCTACTTGTACCACTTTTTATTTCCAGTTACATAAATGGGTATCTTTAATTTCTGTTCCACCCTGCTGTTCTCCAAAGAAAATCTGTGAAATTAGTGCGTAGCAGTCTGGTTTGTTCAGTAGTCTCCATATCTTACTGACCTGGACAGACAGACAACAAACTGTGTATTGCAAAAGGGCACATTTATGGTGTGGGGTTTTTTTTTTCACTAAAGTGGTTGCATAATATTTCACATAATCCCAAAGCTGTCATCACTATATAACCCAAATAGCAACTATCCGTTAACAGGAAAACAAGTAGGCAAAATAATCTTACTATTCATCCCTGATCCAGTGAGAAAACATTTTGCAGATTGGAGCGTATGCCTTTGAAAACCAGCATTCTGTGGCTCTTTTCACTGCATGGTGACACTATCCCCAATTATACAGAACAGTAAAGAAACCAAGCGTTTCTGTAGACAATTATGTGCCAGGATTAGATAGATGGTGAAAGGACAATAATGGAACAAGTAAACAACCGGATCTTCATTATTAAAGAGGTGCTGAGCACCCGCTGCTCTCTCTGAATTAAACTGGGCAACTTTCATTAACATGTCTGCCTTTAATCTTTGTGCCTAAAAATCTGAAATTTAAATCAATGCATTTTCATAAATGAGCATCATAGTAAGTGAAGGTTCTGGTATCTTACTTCTAACACAGTAAGGAGGGCTTGGATGAAAGAAATAAGAGTTTGTGTACCTTACACCCGGAAAATACACATTTAGGGGATGCACAGTAGATTCCATACAGTTGTAGGGATAAAGGAAGTGCTTAGCTTTCAGTGATTTTTATATACCCTTGATATCATAATACCTGAGGTTCTCAGTCATTAACAGATTTTATCTCCAAAGACACTCTTTTGAGGAAGGGAGGAATTATTATTTCCATTTAATGCCTAAGAAATTGAAGAACAACACAGACTGAGAGATTTGCCCAAGGATGTAGGGCAAACCTGCCACAAACTGAAGCAACGGCTTAGAATTCCCAATCCGTGCCTTAAACAGAGGCATTTTTGTCCTATCTTGGTTAAGAAATGTTGCAAACGTTCATTTTCTCATTCCACTAACGCTAACTTCTAGGGAAGAGTTTGGGCCATGAATATGTATTATGAAGAATTGCATTAGTTACTTTTACAAACTAAGTTAAAATAGTTAATAAAATGCTAGAAAAGTATATAAATCTATAAATTAGTGAAACAGTGTAACACTTGAACACTATGGAGCCTACCTATCACTCAGCATCCTTTGGTTGTTAAATAATTCTGGGGTATTTTAATTCTAAATTTCTACAGAGAGGTAATGTGGAGTTTCTTTCCTTTCTATGAACATGCCATGTGTAAGACTGGGCTAGGATTGTGTTCTACTATTCAAGAAAACTTTTTTTTTCTGTCTTTTACTGAGCAATTATTCCTATAGATGCAACTGAGGATGAGTATAATATACGCTAGTGAATCTGGAAGAAATGAGCAACAAATCATGTGTCATTGTAGCCACAACTTCTTGTATCTTAACTGAATTAATAATATTGCTCTTTGTGGAATTTCATGGGCACCTATACAGACCCACTGCTTGTCCCTCAATACTTCTGCAGCAGATGACATACACAACCCTCCATTTGGCTCAATGGTACAAATACCAATCGCTTAATTACTTCACATTACCAACATTATAGCCACTTGTGGAAACTGTGGAAATGAAAGAAATGGTTGCAAATTTCTGGTCTTCTACAGTGCATGCCTCATGTAGACACTTGGTGGGTAGAAAGAGCAAATAAATGAAACACAAAGCAAACATACCTCCAGTGCTATGAACTACAGGTTCTTCAAGTCTGGCAGAGATCAAGAGACACGCAGAGAGCACCTTGATTTCCCGTTACAGCTCCTGGAACACAATGCAACCACAGTTAAGGAAGCATTTCATACTCAGGCTATGTTTGTTTCTGTATGTAAAACTGAAGAACACAGAACTGACTCAACAGCACAGTGAGGCACTGACTTTACAGAGTGAACTATGGTGATGTGCCTGACCAATAGCCAGAGAAACACTGAGACAGAAACCTACAAAAGTTTAACTTGTAATAATTTGTGACATAAAAAGATAGTAAAACTAGATCACATCGCATAACTATTATTTCAGTAATAGATGGATCTCTTACACTAACATGTATTCTTACATATTTTAAATACAAGATAAAAATAAAAAAGCATTACTAAAGAAGCAATTAATTTTGATTCAATAACTGCATCAAAAGAATATTTATCTGAAAAGAGATAAAACAAATGAGTTATTCTTCCTACCAATGAAAGTTGAGAAAGCATATGCAAAACAGAGATCAGTTTGCAGTTCGGGGAACTATTTCCTAGTAGTCACATAGAAAACTGAGAACAAGTTAAGTTTCCAGGAAGGCTGAGCACTCTTTCTAAGCCAGAGAGGGCCCATCAGAAAAAAAAATCCATTTCCATAAGGTCTGTTTGTCTGAGCAGACATGCTCACCACCCTGATGTTGTACACAGCTGAATTAGGTATCTGTTGCTTTCTCAACTCCCTAGTAAAAACACTGCAAGCACAGTGTAAGAGGAAAGGCTTTAAAAGAGACCAGAAAACACCAGTACGTTTCTTCTTGCATACAGAGGCAGCTTACTCATAGTTACTGTCAAACAAGCCCAGAGGTTGATGACTAAAAAAAAAAACATAAACAAAATAGAAAACCCAAGCCCTTTCTTTCAGATTGTTTCCATTCTTCCTCCCACATGTAACCTTCAGCAACCAGCTGGAATAAGCATGCAGTGAATGCAGTTCACCTTGCTCTAAAGTCTTAAGGCTTTACTATATTTAAAACCACTTCAAATTTTCATGTATAAAGCATAGAAAGGAACCCAAACAATATATGGAAATGTGCAATCTCAGCTCCACCCAACTGAAGGACCAGCTAGAAAACAATGAAAAACAAAAGGAATGTATCTTCAAAACCCAAATTGATTCTACCAGGGGCTACGAACAATATAATGCAGTGTAATTGTATGGCTATTGGCTATTGCATGACAGCATTGCATGGCAGAATCAATGCTACTGTGTCTAATGGTGTATCTTAATACTAACATGTTTAAATGTCTTTAAAAAGTAAATTAAATCTCAGTTTCCTACTGTTTGTAGTATTTGTTTGGGGAATAATTACTTTCTGTAGTTACGTATTGCCATAACACTGATGAGCTATAATCATGGATAAGAACAGTGTGCTAGATGCTGTAAAAACACAAAAGATTGCAGTTTAAACACATGATGAGCAGGGAGTGAACAGATAGAGAATGAGGGAGTATGAAGAAATAATGAGGCATTAACAATCAAGCAATCAATATGTGAAGTATGAGATTCGGTGTGCCAGCTTCCAAACTGAGTTACTAGGGACTCCAAGGAGTATCTTTTCCCATGTGAGAGGCAGAAAGAAAGAAAACAGAGGTATTTATCTAGAACTTTCACAGGCGGGTGGTGGAAGCTGGTGTCAGGAGTTTGGGATAGATGCCATCTACATAATCAAAGGTGAAGTAGCCAAAGAACGACCTTGAAAGCAAGTCAAGTACATCAGGTTTGAGTGACAGAGGAGAGCTTGTAGAGACATATGGCCAGTATCACTGGCTAGCAAACGATATTTGCAGCTGTATTATGGGAAAAATAAGGTTATTTTTACACTTGCATGACCAGTGCAGGCAACCCCCTACCTCAAACTGAACATACCTTTGGCAGGGACACCTTTATTAGAAATAAGAAAGCTCCAGGGATGGCATCAGTAGACAACACCTCGATCTCCGCTGCCACACAATGGCTGCAGTGGTGCAGGCCAGCACAGGCAGGTGACAACCTGCTTCTCTTCTTGGCTTGACAGCTTCTGGGTAGGGTCACAACTGCTCTGCTTAATGGCAATTAAACGCCTCTGCCAGGACACCCGGTGAGCTGACAAGGGGAAGAATTAAGAGGAGGCCGATGAAGGGCTAGAGATGGCCCCATACCATCCAGTACTGTCTCTTAAATGGTGCAACATCCACACGTTGCTAGAGCATGCATCATCCAGTAACATCTAGCCCCGTATTTTAACAACAATCAATCTAAATGGAGGAGAGTGAATTTTACAGCACACAAATGTCCCTTCACAATCTGACAGCCAAACAGAGTGACTTTGCTCCTCACTCATCACGTTTTGATCTCAAACTCGGGCACTATACCCGTGGCCTCCTTTGGATACCACAGGCTGCAGATCACACGCTGTGCCCAGCACCAGCCCAGGCCGCTGATCGTGCCAAAGCAAGACTGCCGGGCACCAGGCACCGGGCAGCCCCCATGCTGTGGAGGTGCAGGATACCACAGGCCTGCACCCGAAGCGCCCTGTGCCGTACCGCGGGCGTTGCGCGCCGCTCCCCTCACACACCGGCTCTGCACGCGGCACTAACGGCCGCTCACGCGCCCACGGCGGGTTGTTTACTTCCTCCGAGGCGCGCGCCCCGCCACAGCCCCAGGCGCGCGGCGGCCCCCGCCCAGTTCCCCGCCGGCCAATCAGGGCCGCCGGCGGCCGCGCGCGCGCAGGGGCAAACTTGCCCCCCGCCGCCCCTCCGCCCCCGTAACAGGAGCTAGGCGAACGCAACGTCAGCCGGTAACTTAGCCGCTGATTGGCTGCAAGGCCTGCCCATCTCTACAAGGCCCTGCCTTCCGTCTTACTCGCGCAGCCGAATACACGCCGTTCCCCGCCTCCGCGATCCGTGTGTGTGAGGCGCGGATTGGGTAACGGCCCTGCCGCTCACTCTCCTCCCGCCAATCAGCACCGGCCACGCCCCTTTCCCCACTCACCCTTCTCCACCGCTCGGGAAACACACCTCTCCAGCACCGCCCGCCCGGGGCTGCCGCCCCCTCCCATTGGCTCACTGCCCTGCCAATCCGCCGGGGCCCCGCCTCACCCGGACAGACCGCTGCGAAGGCCGCCTCCCCACTAGCTCTGTCCGCTGATTGGGTGGCTGGGTAACGGCCGCCGTTTCCTATTGGCTGTCCCTCTTGTCACTCCGACAGGCCTCCGGGACGGCTTCCCGCTGTCCACCGCACCCCCCCCCGCCCGCCTCAGCGCCGGGGCCCCGCCCCCGCCTCCCTCCCGGCGCGCCCCCGCCCTCCGCGGGGTCACGTGATGTTTTCGCCGTGGTGCCGCCGAGGCCGCCTGCGTGAGTGCGAGTAGCTAGACGCGGTGCGGGCGGCGGGAGGGTGCGGGCGCGCAGGCACGGCCCGGTACGGCACCGCCCGACCCTATGCGCGGCCCGCTTCCCCGGTGAGCGCGGATCTCCGCTGCTCCGCCCGGTGCCCCTTTCCCGGCGCTCCGGACCCTGCCTGGCCCCTAAGATGGCGAGTGGGATGAATGGTCCGGGCGGCGGCGCGGCGGCCGGGGGCGGCGAGGAGGAGCTGGGCGCCCGCCACACGGGAGGCGGAGCCGTGCCTCAGCAGGCGCCCGGCGTGTTCGGCGCGGCGGCGGGCGAGGGGGAACCGGCGGCGGGCGAGGGCGGGCGCTGCCCGTCCCCTCAGCCCCACAACCTGCTGCTGCTGCTGCGGCGCTCGCCCAGCGCCTCGCTCTGCCTGGCGCCGGAGGCCGCCCCCGTGGCGGGCCGCAACGTTCCCGCGGCGGGCCGCGGCGGGCAGCCCCCCCCGGCGGGCCGCGGCCCTCCCCCGCCCGCCGCCGGCGAGGACGTGAGGAAGTGCGGCTACCTGCGGAAGCAGAAGCACGGGCACAAGCGGTACTTCGTCCTGCGCGCCGAGAGCCACCTGGCCCCCGCCCGGCTCGAGTACTACGACAGCGAGAAGAAGTTCAAGAGCAGCCTGCGGGCGGCGGGGGCCGGCGGGACGGGCTCCCTGTGCTGCCCCCCGCCCAAGCGGGTCATCCCCCTGTACCAGTGCTTCACCGTCAGCCGGCGGGCCGATGCCAAGCACAAGCACATCATCGCCTTGTACACCAAGGATGAGTACTTCGCCATGCTGGCAGAGAATGAGGCAGAACAGGAGGCCTGGTACCAGGCGATCAGTGAGCTCATGAGCCAGAGCAAGAGGGGCTTCCTGGAGCAGGAAGACCACGCCGACCAGCAGGTGGATGAGGATGATGAGCACTATGGGGCTGCCCTGAGGCCTGGCACTGTCTTCAAGGAGGTGTGGCAGGTCAACGTTAAGCCCAAAGGGTTGGGACAGACAAAAAACCTGACTGGAGTGTATAGGTTGTGCCTCTCCAGCAAGGCCATCCACCTCGTCAAGCTGAACTCGGAGGTGCCCTCTGTCCACCTGCAGCTAATGAATATTCGCCGCTGCGGACACTCGGAGAACTTCTTTTTCATCGAAGTGGGCAGATCTGCCTCTATTGGGCCTGGAGAGCTCTGGATGCAAGTGGATGATTCGGTGGTTGCCCAGAATATGCATGAGACTTTTCTGGACACCATGAAAGCTCTAAAGGCCTTTGCAGAGTTCAGGCCCCGAAGCAAAAGCCAGTCTTCTGGTGGTGGTAGTGGTACGAATCCCATCTCCTTCATCACCACCAGGAGGCACCTGGGCAACCTGCCCCCCAGCCAGACAGGCTTGCAGAGGAGGTCTAGAACTGAGAGTGTTGTTGGAGGGACCCCTCCTACCACCAAAAGCAGCAGCTCTTATCGCTTCAGAACATCCAGTGAAGGAGAAGGAACCATGACCAGACCTTTCAGGTCAGTGACTGGGAGTCTGATCCACCTCAACACTGCAAGGATGAATTTGGGCCGGCAAGAGGGGAGCGGAAGGTACGTGAGAGCTGCTTTCAGCTCGTCTTACCACACCAGGTCTGCTTCGCTGCCTGTTTCTCACTTTCCCTCCACGACAAGTCCCATCAGTGTTTCTTCCAGTAGTGGCCATGGCTCTGCTTCGGACATGTTGACCAGGCCTTCTAGCTCATCTGTTTGCGGTTCCCCAAGCGATGGGGGATTTATTTCTTCTGATGAATATGGCTCCAGCCCTGGAGACTTCAGGTACTTCCGGGTCCGGAGTAATACACCGGATTCCCTGGGAAACACGCCACCTATCAGAGAGGAGAACTGCCTGAGTGAGTACATGTCCATGAGTAAGCAACAGGTAGATGATAGCTCGCGAGATGATTATATGGAGGCTGAAAAGTGTTTCAGGAAAAGAACTTACTCTCTAACAAAACCAACTTCTGTAGCAGTGCAGCAGAAGACAACACAAACAGCTTTGTTAGATGAAGACTCTGCAGGAAATCATGGACGATTACTTTACTCTGAAACCCCGAAATTGAAAGATAACCATGAGTTGGAGTACAGTGATGCAAACCTCGATTCCGTATGTAACCAAAGTAGGAATAAAGCCAGGGATGATGGGTACATGCCCATGATGCCAGGAGTTGCATCTTCTCTATCCAGCAACAGTGATTATTTGCCAATGACTCCTAAAAGTATGTCTGTTCCAAAACAGATTAACAATTCGTGGTCACCGTCTCAGGTTGACTCCAGAGGATACATGATGATGTTTCCGAAAGCCAGCTCCTCACCTGTACGCAGTCCTTTAACTGGATTTGTTTCTAAAGGAAGTAATGAGAAAATTGCCAACAATGAGTATATGGATATGTCACCTGGTAATTCAGCTCCAAAGCACCCCAGTGATTCGAATTATATTCACACCGCTTCCATTCCCAAAGGTTTTAGTTCATATTTTTCTTTGCCCCGAAGCTTTAAGGCATTATCAGGACAGAACGGTGACCACAGTGAGTATGTTCCAATGTCTTCACCTGGAAAACTCTTGTATGGTGGACCAGAAAATGGAAAAGGGGTCAACAGTGAGGCTCTGGCTAATGGCATCTCTAAACTGCCAGTGGTGAAAGGTTCAGATGAAGGACTTGTGCAGAACAGGGCTACCAGGCCCACACGGCTCCCGCTGGGTACAAGAGGGAGTAACACTATCCCAAGAATGTATGATCGTACAGTTCCACCTGAGCCAGCGAGTCCTGGTGAATACATAAATATTGATTTTAATGAAAAGGCAAGTAATACTCCGTATTCCTTATCTGCAGAAGGATCCCCATCATCTCTAGGCTCAAGTAGCGACCACAGGCAGTCCCCGCTTTCTGATTATATGAGCGTTGACTTGGATGTACAGTCACCGAAAGTGGCGAAGGAACTGTCCAACTCTCTAACAGATATTTCAATTTATGCAAGTTCCAGTATTCCTAGAAACCAACCGAATCCTGATTATGCCAGGCTCTCATTCGGTACTGCTTGTGTGAGCACTGCCAGTAACAGGACTGATGACTACACGGAGATGACATTCAACATGGCAGCAACACCACCTCGACCATTTGCTGCCGAGTCTGACACCAGTGTAAAGATTGACAGCCCTTCTTCCATAGTTAACAGACTCTGCATTGTCGATCGATATGCTGGTAGCAGTAGCTTCCCTGTTCCTAGCTCTGAACCTCCAATGGGACCGAAAGTGATTCGAGCCGATCCTCAAGGCAGAAGGAGGCACAGTTCTGAAACATTCTCTTCTGCTGGGACTGTGACAACTTCCTCCTCATTCTTTACTGATAGTAGCAAAAGACACAGCTCTGCCTCATTTGATAATGTTTGGTTAAAACCAGATGAAAACATTTCTGATGGTCAGGAAAGCAAAATGTCCAGGGATACCTCAACTGGATTTCAGAATGGCTTAAACTACATCGCTCTGAATTTACGCGATGATCCTATAAGCTGTGAGGCGAGTACTACAGCGCCAACTTGCCACCTCCAAAATGGTACTTCAGGTTTGGACAGTGGAGCTTATGTAAGCATAGACTTCAGCAGATCCGATGGACTCAAGTGTAACGCTGCGAGAAAAGGTTGGTAACTTTAAAACCACTTCTCTTTCTTGCTTGCTTAACTGTAGGAGTGCTAAAATGTGGTATTAAGAGCAAGGTAAATGTTTCTTATGATCTTCTGTATCATTCTAGTACAGCATTCTACCCACTGAACCACTATGGAAGGGGACCTGGTCCTTGGCCTAAAAGATGCATGTGACTTTTCTAGGCAGTTAGAGCTGCTGCCATCAGCCTTGGTTTTTTATAAAAGAATTCTGCTAGTGTAACTGTTAATCATATTTCATTCTGTGTATCCTTGTCCTGAGGTTTTGGTAGCTTGTTTTTTCCCTTTGCTTTTGCTTTTCTCCTCTTCCCTTCTTATAACTGACTCTTCACTTTCTTTTTTGGTGAACTTGGTATTTTGTGATTTGTGTCATGGGTGGGGAAAGCTGAAAATCGCTGCATTAGGTGTAGACATCAAAATTCGGGGCTTAGATCTGTTCTTTTCAATACATGTAGGTGAAATGCATGGTTTAGGGTGTTTTGTGTGCAGATCTGCCCACATTGATGGAGTTGAATCATATGCAAACAGACCTTGATTATTTTCCCCTTGAAGTGTGCTCCTTTGAGCTCTGGTCTCCAAAGTACCCCTGTATCCTCTGGAAAAGCCATCTCCCCGTGGCTGGCTGGGGTGGTGGGAGACTCCTGCAGCCTGTGCCCTCTACCTTCACCAGTTAGTAGTATCCAGGTAGCTGAGCTGTAGCCCTTCCCCTGCTCTGCAGAGGGATCTGCCTTTTGCATAGCAGGTGAGGAATGCCTGTGACCAGAGCAGGCTCTGAGCAGTGTGTTCCAGGTCTGAACCTTTAGAGGGAAGCTGTTAGCTTTCAAGTGATCAGTCCTCTGACCCGGTTTAAGGTAGTGCTGTTGGAGGTGTGCATAAAAAATCAGGGTGTTGGGGGTAAGGAGAAGATGATGGGAGGAGGAGGGACACCCAGTATGATAAGCTGTCATGGTGGGAGCAAAAACCAGTAATTAGCTGTTAGTGGTACTTTGTGTGTCCACCGCCTGCACAGCACTGTTTGTGCAAGCACTGCATTGCACTGGAACTTGGGAAGCATAATCCTCCTTCTGGTGTTAGTGACCCACTGAACTCCTTACAGTAATGCACCCTCCCGGATAGAAAGCTGTGTGTGTTGGAAATGCTGTTTTCCTTTCTGTGCAAGTGTATGTGTAGTCAATAATTGATGAGTACTAAGAGGAAATATTTAATCGCTGTTGGACATTGATACTTGTCTACTCTCTGTCAACAGAGAAGGCAGTAAAGGGGCCAGCTACTGCTGGCTTTCTCATTCTCAACTACAGTCTTAAAACAGCAAAATTACTTTTTTTTCCTAGTTTCACTGTAAAACTCGGTGTCTAAAGGCAGAAGGTATTGCAGGAGCTTAAAATTGTGTAGCCTTTAATAGTGGAAGGTATAAGCCTGACTCAGCTCGCATGCCATTCGAAGTCTGGCAGCACTGCTTGGGGCTGCTCAGAAATGTGTGGTTTGCCTCAGTGGTTTTTTTCCTCTGCTTTGCTTTGTTGGTTGGAATCAAATTTAGAAGACGTTGAAAACTGCCAGTCCAAGAAGTGTTTTCTTCCAAAGTTAGTCTTTCAGCACTTGAGAGGTTTGTCTGCTAAGGCAAAGGCACTCTGGTTGCTGTAGCTGATTTATGATTATTTCTTTAAGCAGCCCCAAAGACACCAGAATTCCTGCTTGATCTTATTCCCCTCATGACTACGATCTGTGCTGTAAAGTAAAACTTACTAAATGGAGAGGGGCGGGGGGAAAACCCCAGAGGTTGTTTCCTTTCAGCTGTACTGTAAATATTACACTTGAAAGTATTTTTCAAGAGAGAATGGGTTTATAAATTGCATTTATAGTGAACATTTTGCTTACTACTGCCACAGCAAAATACCTACAGCCCTATGCTTGGTTTATTTTCCCCTTGTCTTTTACAAGTTGCAGAGGGGCAAGAGACTTGAACTTGCTGTTTTTCACTGTGATTTCAAGTTTTCTGGAAACGAAACATGAAAATGAAGTGAAACTGTGCAGAAAAACATGGGCTTTGGCAGGAAATTAAGCATGAAAATAGTAAGAGCTTAGGTTGGTGGTTCCTTTCTAGTCCTAAAAAGAGAAACAAAATTAAAAATCACTGCTCCCAAACAAGGCCTAACAGCTTTAAATAAAATACTGCTGGTATATGGTAGGGAGAGCAGGGGGGTTGTTCACTTGTAGGTGGCTCCTGGAGGGACAAACAGATTTTGGAATAGTCCAAGGCTGAAAGTAGCTCCCCAGCCTTGAATACAGCATTGTAAATTGGTGGTGTGTATCTGTGTCTTAGTAATGACTTAAAATTCTGGATGATAAAGATACCATTTTCATTCACATAGTAAATCGCGTCCCTAAGCTATAGCAAGTATGATTGTGGAAGTCTGTACTCCTGAAACAGCTTAACAGTTTCTGCTTCAATAAAGCTTTTAATATTTAAAATTTTTCTGTAGTACAGAAAAGCACTTTCATGTTCCATTTTAAATAGTGGAAATGAAGCTTTGCTCTTAAACCTCTTGTACCCTGAAGAGCTGTAGTGTGCCTGTGTGTAACTGATGGTTTTAATACTTCTGGAGACTTAGGGGAACTGAGTGCTGCCTTTTCTTCCCCTCTGCATCCCACTCTTTCAGTCCTTTTGCCTGAAAAATGCTCTGTGGTTAAATTCATTCTTAAGGAATATATTCAGCGGATGCCTTTACCCTTTCCTTCCTAGAAAGGAGCTATCCTATAGCGATTGAATTCTTTCAGGTAGAGAACTTTCTGTCTTTCCCCATTAACTACAGTTTTGCTGGAAGGAAAACACTTCCCAACTCCATGTTGTTTGCTTTTTTGTTTTGTTTTCCTTTGCTTAAATGGGATATTGTGCTCTGTGACTCAGCTGTGTTCTGGCTGCTGAGGGGGGTAGCATGATTTCCAATGCGTCGCTGCCCCCACATTGTAATTCCCAGACTCCTCTTGGTTCAGGTTCACTGATGTGAATCAAACTTTTTGTTTTTCCTTTCTCCATTCATGACATGGATGGAGGAGTGGGAGGGCACTGATGTGAAATGGTAAACAGGGCTGACTTGTTATTAATCTTTTATTTCAGGTTTAGGCAAAATTGAGCTGAGGGTTTATGTTGATAATGATGATGATAAAAAGCATATAAGGTTCTGATTTTTAGTGTTTGAAGTTTAAGGAGGTCATTAGCAAAACAGTTTCATCATGAAATTGTTTCACAATATTGAAGCAAGCGGTTTGCAGTTTTGATTACACGAATCTGAGTCATGAAATTTTGTGCTAGGAGTACAGAACACTAAAGCTACTTCAAACAGGGCTTAGCTAATGTATACCTTGTTATTGAACCTTGTAGAAACTGGGGAGGATAATGAGAATGGGGCGGCAATAAACTGCATAATGGGTCCTGTATAATACAGGTTTCTTCAGTCTTAATTAGAAACATTCAACCTGCAAGGATACCCTGGACTCCAAAACCAAAACACACTGTTCAGAGTAAATATAATGTTCAGCTTAGTATCAGCCCACCTATTTTACACCCACTCTTTAATCTTATCTCTACCTGATACTCTTAACACCATACTAAGATATTATTTCAGAAGGTTTCTGAAGTGTGGGATTATAATTTAAATGTTCCTCGCTTCTTTAATCTCCTTCTGTGCTACACTTGGCATGAGTGCTGTGTACGCTTTGGGGAGCTGAGGGGATGGAAAACAAGAACAGCTGTAAAGCAAAACTTGTGTTCCAGATTGTCCAGTTGGTAACTTGCATGTTTCGAATGCAAAATCATTGAAGAATATAATGAACAATATATACTTTGAGAAATTCAGAAGCTGGAAGTTTTAGCTATTACTAATATAGTAAATTACAGTTCATGGGATACCAGGCAAATAACTGCCCCTTTTGGGTTTCAGACTAGTGGTTTTTCAAAGTTTGCTTCAAACTGAGGCTCTTTTGTATTGGCAGAGTAGTTAAGGCATGGGCCCATTTAAAAATAACTTGAAGAACCCTACTGAAGCACATCCGAGCACCCGTGTGTCCTACATCTTTGAAGGAATGCTGGGGTAATGATTCTTTAAAGCAACACACAAATCCCAAACCATTTGAATCTTGCTGTAACAGATGCCACTTCAACAGTCTTGAGTGACTTACAGCTATGCTTAAAAATACCCAAGGTAACTTTCTCGAGTAGTATGTGAGCTGCTGAAGGCAGAGCAGATTTTTGTCGTGTGGCGTGGGAGTGAGCTAATTATGACATATTTGACCAAGAATCAGTTGGGTTTGACTTGCACTTGGGTGAGAAAGGCTGGGACAAGAATGTTCCCCTGCCGTTGAGAGAGAACGCTTGTAGTCAGTGTTGAAATGCTTCTGGGAATCAGCTTCCCAGACTTCAAACCCATGGCTGCAGCTGATGGTGACACGTGTCTTTTCTGGAAGTCTAACCCTTTCTGCTCATAGCTGTCTCGTAGGTTAAAGCATGGCTGCTGGACACATGGAGTTCTGGGAGTCACCTGGTGCCGGTCCATACTGCTGCCTTTTTTAAAGTCTTTTGGTGAAATCTTAAATGCATTATTACCCTTTTAGTTTTCCCTCTAAAACTTCATTCACAGCTTCTCTTCCTCCCCTGATGTCTGAGGGCCCCTTGTTCTCCATCGCCCGGGGTGGCCAGTTGGAGTAGCAATAGGAGGAGGTTTGCAGCTTCTACTTTGTCTTTCCAGTGCCTGTATTCCAGCCTGGGATTACTGGGGTGGTTTGTCTCTAGGTATTTATTTGGGGTTTTTTGTATGTCCAGTAGCATGTTAGGAGTAGGCAGAGTTAGGGTTTGGGTTTTTTCCCCTCTGCATATGCTCTTTTTTTTTTTTTTTTTAATGAAAGGATCTTTAATAAAGTTTTCTTCATAGAAAGGGCTGGGGGAGGGTTTATACCTTGAGGTTTTGGATGGTGCTAAAAAGAG